GCCCCAAGGGATGATGAGGTCGAACGGTTATAAACTCCTACAAGACCATTTCAGGCTGGATATAAGGAAGAATTTCTTTACTGTCTGAGCCCCCAAGGTCTGGAACAGCCTGCCATCAGAGGTGGTTCAAGCACCTACATTGAACACCTTCAAGAGCAAATTGGATGCTTATCTTGCTGGGATCCTATGACCCCAGCTGACTTCCTGCCCTTTGGGCGGGGGGGCTGGACTCGATGATCTTCCGAGTCCCTTCCAACCCTAATGTCTATGAAATCAAAGGAGGCAGTGCCTCCACCACCAAGGGCATAAACTGGCCTTGAGCTGGTATTACTGGCAGTGATGCACAAGAACAAGGACTTGATTTCACCCCAGCTCAAGGCTGAACCTAGCTAGCTCTCAGACCAGAGCTGCTCCAGTTATGTGGTAGGAGCAATCTCAGCACAAGCAAATGACTATTCAGAGAATAGTTGTGCAGTTGCCATGATCTAAACTTTTTAAAGAACCTGATGTCTGCCCCCCTACCCTGTGCTGGCTGAGAGGGGAGGATTGCGCAGAGGTCCTTGTTTGCCCTGGAAGCCTTCCCAGCACAGCACCTGCAACTTCTTCTCGGTTTTTAACAGCTTTAGCAGAGACCCAAAATGGAGATCTGGTGCTCAGAAATACTCTGAATCAAAAGCTTCCCTTGTATACAACAATGGGACTTCAAATCCACCATTCTTTGCTCTTTGCCTACTGTTTGAGGCATGCGTGCTATGTGGGGTTTTTAGTTTTTGTTTTTTTCCTTCCCTTACCTTCATTCATCCTCCTCCAAAACTGGGAGGAAAAGTAGCTTAGTACCTGGGTCCATAAGGCAGGCTTTCAAATGTCAAGTGAATGCTTTTTCCCTTTGTGGCTGAAAGGAGGTAAAATGCTGGTTGTTTTCTACTGCCTTGAAAACAAGTGGTTGCAAGAGGCTGGAGTTTTAAAAAGCCAGCTGAAAGGCCTGTGTGAAGGGAGGCACCCTTCAAAGAGCCTTGACTGAATTCAAAAGGAGGAAGAAACTTGATGTAAACCTGCAGAATGGTGCCTCCACCCTAGACTTTTCTCTGCTGGCTTTACTGTACCTAATGGGATGCTTGCCAGGTGCATGATGCTAAGTTTCATGCTCTGCATCTCTCTTAAACCTCTAGTTTCATGACCAGGAAAATGAAGGGGCAAGGACTCAACCCTGCCTTGACCAAATGCGTTTGGTGAGGGCAATTGAAGCACTACTCCTCTTCCAAACCTGGGTTATTAGCACCTGGTCCCAAGAAGCTTCAGTCTCTGGCAGAGAGGAAGACAGGGGCAAACTAGATGACCTTGTGAGGTCCTTTCCTATGATCATATGAAAGTCTGCTACTATTTTATTCCCCAGGAGGATGGCACTCATAGTTTTAAAGGTAATTTTAGAGCTTTCGCCAAATCAGATGCAAGTAGTTATGTGAGCACCTTCTCAAAACAATTCACCTGAGGCTGATTCAGGATCTGGCTATTTGAGATCTTGATGAAAGTTCTTCAAGCAAGAGAGGCTGTAGGAGCATGAATGATGAGACCTACCATTTTGCCAAGATAGCTTGTGAGGACCTGCTTTGTACTGGGTAAGACTGAGCCAAAGGGCCCAGAAATGTAGGCTCTTGAGAGAGCAAAGCCTCTACCTTCTTGCCCTAATGAAAGTGATTCAGACGGATGTGAAGGGTCTGTGCTGGCTTCATCCATACACTGAAGGGTAAGTGCTTCTGTTGGAGTTTTTTTTCATTGCTCTAATCTTGCCTGAATTGGTTTAATCTGCTCAGCAGTTTGAGAAACCCACTACAGCTTTTTGCTCTGTAGGTGGCACTGCCCACTTGCACTTTGGAGAGAGGTAAAGGTGCAATTAAGCTTAACTGCCAGGGTGAGGTTTGAAAAGTTGCAATGCTCTCTTTCTCTTTTTTCCCCCTCTCTTTGTGGCCTAGGGTTTGGGGGTTTTTTGACACTCCGAGGAGCACGCTAAAATGGAGGCCCTGGATATGCTTCCCTGCACCTCCATCACATCAGTTGGCCTAATATTGAAGTCAGCTGTGGCTGGGTGTTGTGTAATGGTCTTGGTTTTCTCAAATGAACTGCAGAGGTTTCAGCTGGAGCTTAAAGAGCAAAATGCACTTTGAAAAGGAAGCATGTGGCTGGCTGAAGGCTGCGATGCTGTGCACCAAGCTGCACTCCGCATTTCTGCAGACATCTGCACACAGAAAATAGGATGAACCATTCCCCAGATGCGAGAACCTGGCCTGCTTGCAAGTATTTAGCATCTAACCAGATGAAGACTTGAAGCAATTGAAAGCCTCCTCTGGCATGAACTGCTTTAGCAAGTGGCTGAAATGAGCCTGTTTAAAGTTTCTGGTGACTTTTGGAGTGGGGGGAGCGGCACAGGGGGATGTGACAGATTGATGCACAGGTGTGTTCAGGGGTGTCCAGGAAACCTAGGGCAGGAGAGGACTTTATAAGATACAAAAGGAACAGTTGCCTTTTCTTTTCTCTTGGGAGCCTCATGCTTACTTGCTGCTTGCCTGCCAGGCGCTGTGGATAGAAGCGAGTTAGCTCATCGGCAGAGGCCATCTGTCTTCCTGGGGCCTGAGGCTGCCTGCCTCCCGCCATGTGGCGTTCTGCTTCTCATCTCCCCGGGGCTGCTTTCAAGCCATGTCCGGACTGAATGGGATTGCGTCTGTACGTGTTCCCCTGGTAACCATCTTCACACTTGTTAATGCCAGCGTGTCGAGCATCTTCTTTGTCTTTCAGGACTGACGGCTAGCTTCTGTCAAGGGGCCCTGAAAGTTGTTGTCTGGCAGCAGAAAGAGCAGACTGTTGTGGCATGGGGTCGGGGTTGTGAAAGTAGGCTTCTATTCCTGTCCCCTCCCATGTGCATCTCGCTCCAGTTTTTCCAGCAAACAAAAGCTGCATTCTCCAAATCCTCACTTCCATGGGCATAAGCTACTGGGAATGAAATCATCTTAGTGGTATGGGTGGCCCTTACCAAACAGGACTAGGGCCTACTGACAAAGAAGAGTCGAGGGGGAAAAACTCCTGTCAGAGGCCTTGACTAGTCTCCAGCACTGGCAGTGGAGCACATCCCCAATGTTTTTTTCACACTCTGGATCTGCATTTAAGTGAAACCAACATCTAAATTAATCAACCAGGCTCCTACTGGGAGATAACGATCCTCAGCGTGCTCTCAAGTTCCATATCCTTCCTATTTAATATGTAGCTAAACATTATAGTGAGTCACCGCCACTTTCTCCAAGCCAGCGAATAGAGTTGACTCCTCTTGGTGTTGCTTTGCTACAGCATTGCTTAGCTGGAAAACTCCAGGGGCTTTCAGAGTAGGCAAGTAACACTACTCTTTGCTAGAGAAAGGGGAATTGGGATCCTGCAGGCTTCTTGCCCGAGGGCGTGGGATGAGCTAGGGCCAGAGCCCACCCCTGCCTTTACCTCCCCCATCCTCTGGAGAAACAAGCTCCTGGTCACTTTAACCCTGTTGAAGCCTGGCCTACACATCCTAAAGAAGTCTGCCTACTTTGCTTACCACAAGCCCCTTGCTTCCTGGGAGGAGTGCATGATGGTACCCCGGAGGTCATCATCCAGCCCAGCGGGGATTCCTAGCTAGGCACTGGCACCGAGAGGATGTGCTGTTTCTACCACCACGAGGCTCGGGGGGGCCAATCTCAGGACGGGTGTCCTGCTGTAATGCTGAATCCCTGGGAAGGTCTGTGTACACCTCCAAGGTCTTGGCCCTGCCCTGAGCACTTCTCCCCGTACTGGAAAGTGCTCTATTGTGTGCCAGTGGCGTGTACCTGTTAGGTCTGGAGAAGGCAGGACAGAGATGCACCTTGCCCACTAACTGAATTGGGGAGGAATAAGCTCTTGTGAGTATTGATCCTGCAGAGGGTGAACGGGCTCAGTGGAAACATGATCTGGTTCGGTGCTGGTCTGTGACTGTGAGAGCTAGTTTCTGTTCCTTATTGTACTCTTTCTGCACCATAAAACGGGCCTGCGTCTTTCATGAAGCATTGAGGCCCACTTCATTGCGACTGGGAAGTGCCTTTAAATCTTGGGATGGAGGGAGCTGAGAGAGGACCTGACTTGCCACCTGGCCTTTTCACACTCACCTGGAAGAAGTCTGTCCTCAAACTCAGCTGCCCACCTGTCAGCAAGCAGTGTGTACCCAGCAAACCTCACCAGATGGTGCTGTTACTTCAGAGCAATTGGAAACCCCAGCTCTGAGCTGGGCGAAGCAAAGCCGTCTGGTGCTGCTTGACAGACAGCCGGTCAGGGTGAGTGGCAGCGAAGGCGTGGTCTCGTAGCAAATCCCAGTGCTGGGGTTGCATAGAGACACCTTCCATTTTTGGGTGTCTCGGTGCTGCTGGCGCACTTGAGCATTGATCCACTTCCACTTTTTTCCCTCCCTGCAATGTTAACATGTGCAGCCCTTTCCTGCACACCTATGTCTTTGTGCATGGCTGGAAGGGGCATGGAAAGCTGCTGACAGTCCCTGCTGGCGGGGGGGTATTGCATGCTTGTGCAGACAGGCTCCAGGGCGGGAGCGAGCACTCTCATCTTGCCTCTCCTCTCTAAACGTGAAGCCTGTGGGTTTCCTGTGGCTGAGCAGGTTCCTGCAATGGCTCACCGAGGTTTCAGGCTCGCTGCCACCTTGCAGCTCTTAGCCTTTTAAGAACGAATTGCCACCTCATCTCAACCTGTGCATTGCACATGGTTACCTTGGCCCACAGATGCAGCAGTGCTGCAGGCTCCCTGGCTGTTCCCATGGGAGGCTGTCCAGCTGTGAGAGCTGCAGGAGCACTGTGGGGGCTGCGTGCATGAGACTATCTCGTGAGGCCTGTTCAGTGGGACTGCCGAGGTAGTGGCTGAGTCACCAGCCGCAACTGCCTCTCCCAAACGTGTTTCCCCAAGGTCGGGACTTGCTTCGTGCTCTGGCGTGCTCCGGGGCCTCTGCTGTCTTGTGGTGCAAGCTCCACGTTGCTCATGGAGAAACTTGGGTCCTGGACACGTGTGCATCATTCCTGTGTCTCCTGGCTCTTCCGAAAATTCCCCTCCCGTGGTTCTGGCTGTGGTGGCCTTTCCCCGATGCAGCTAGCTCTTGGGATGCTGTATTCCCATCTCCTCTCCCTTGGTCCCTTGTCCATGTGAGGCCTTAATTCCTGTCCATACAGAACCTTTGCAAAGACTTTTATGCCGCTAAAAATACCTCTGCCACTGGAATTTCCCCAGGGGACTCGGGCCGACTGCAGGCGGCTGAGCTCTGTGTGCTAGATTAAGAGATTAGAGCAGGTCCATGCCGCATAGGAGCTCAGAGACCTGCCACGTTTGGTGCCAGAGCTCCGAGACCTGCCACCTGCATGGTGTTGTACGCTCCAGCTGGCGCTCATACCACCTCCTTGCCCCCCTGCCACTGACCATGGGCCTCTCCAGGGACCTGGAGGTGTGGAGAGAGCATTCAGCAGCGTGACTATCCCCAGCATGAATCACATCCACTTAACAGGGCTGTGAGCTGCTGTGCCTGCCTCGGGGGGCCAAGAAGAGGGAGCTCAGCTGGGTGTCAAGCTCTACCTGTCCCCACAGCCCTAGTGTCAACGTGGTTGTGCTGGCAACCCTGAACTAGGCCTGGTCCTGGTGGTGAAGCCCCATCGGCAGGCAGAGCGGTGTCTACACCAGGGCTCCTGGCAGCATCATGGGGCAGGGAGGCCTGCATTAGCTAAGGGCAGGTGTGGGCAAAGCCTTGCAGATGACTCCCAGGCCTGGCAAGGGCAGGGGATCCAACTAACAACCTGCCTCCCTCTGCTCTCCTTGGAGTGGGGTCCGGGAGATGAACTAGCTTGCGTGGAAGCCTGAACTAAGTTGATAGAGGGGTGGGAGGGAGACGGTCCAGCCTGAGCCTGGATGGGGAGCTCAGACCAGGGGAAGCAGGCAGGATCTTTGGACCCGTGCTTGCGCCAGCTGGGAGGGGCGGCCTCTCACTGCAAGGAGGCGAGGCCGGTTGCTGGCAGCAGGGCACAGACCCATGAGCAGAGCAGGGCACAAAGGAGACAGGCCGGGAAAGCCCTTGATGCAGGGCTGAGTCCAGGTGCTGGCACATGCAGGGCAGTTCTGGACCCTCCCTTGCAGGTGACATTTCTCTGTGCTGCTCTTCGCGCTTAGAGCAGAGCATCACTCGGCCTGTCCTACCTGTCGCCTGCCCCATCCCCCTGGCCTGTGCTGGGGGGGCATTCCCTTCCCTCCAAACTTACAGCCAGCACAAGCAGGACCTGCCAGTAATGGCAGATGTGAGAGCAGAGGCCCGTTGTGGACGGTTTGCTGACAGGCTTAGGAGCACCAGGTTTCAGCAGCATTAAACCTTTTCTGTTTTCAGCCAGCTGTTTTCCAGCTCTTGCATGCAGGGAGAAAGCGTGCCTGGCATGAGCCAATGCAGGCCGGCCAGCACCCCAGGATGGTTTCCCTGTGCCAGTGCAGACCTGCTGTGCACCTCTCACGAGGTGTTTACTCTGGAGCCTAGCGGTGACGGCTTATAAATCGGCATTCTCAGCAGCCAGCTTTGGCAGCAGGCACGTCCAGCTGGCGTGCTGACCTAGTGGTATCAAGGAGGCGAAGTGGTAACAGCCAGTCCAGATTATACCAACCACCCCCTGGACCGCACCCCAGCCCCAGCTGGAAGGGAGACTTGCTGGGGGCAGAAGTGGAGGCTTTTGCTAGGTTGGGCAACCTCTCCACTTTCCCACTGATGCTGCAGCAATGCTGGCGAGTGTGCTGCCTGCTGCCCCGACCCCGAGAGATCAAGAAGCTTCGAGATCAGGAGCTCAGAGGCAGGTGCAAGGCTGCAAGCCCCCACTGCTCTCAATCGAATGTGAAGGAGCAGAGGGTTGGTGGCGATCTAGCCCAGCCTTTCAGAGCAGACCGGGTGACTTTCCACTGAGATCTGGGCTGCATCTCACCCCGCAGGTGCTTCCCATGAAGGACTGCAGGGGAGATCTCTGAAACAAGGGGTCCACATCTGACTCCTGAGGAGAGGCTGGAAGAGCCAGGGTTATTTAGTCTGGAGAAGAGGAGGCTGAGGCAGGATTTGATCACAGTCTGCAAACCCCTAAACGGTATTTACAGAGAAGATGAAGACAGGCTTTTTTCTGTGGCTGTAGAGGACTGAACTAGGAGCAATGGCCTCAAGCTGCAGCAGAGGAGGTTGAGGTTGGAGATGAGGAGCTTTGTGGCTATGAGGATCAAGCCTATCCTTGGAAGTTTTTCTAAGGCCAGGTTGAACAGGCACACAGCTGGGATGGGTTAGTTAGGGATGCTCCTGCCTTGAACACGAGCTGGACTAAACATTGCGAGGTCCCTTCCAGCCCGACTCCACTGTGACCCTATGGTGGGGCCGAGCGCCAAGCAGTGCTGTGCTCAGCTGCAGTGTGTCTGCTCCCCGGCACTGCGCCCAACTTGCAGCCGAGAGTCATGGAGCTGGATGCGGGCGGTTTCCCCCTGCATTTTGGATGGGGGGGCTACCTCCGAAACAGCTGGATGCAAAGGGATGGCACAAGCTGCTCCCTTCCTGCCTTGCTGTGCTTGAGGAGGGTGTCTCACAGGAAGGCAGGGCTGCTGGTGATTCCTCTGGAGCCAGAACCAAGACTCCTGTCCAGGGCACGCATGGCCCATCCAGCTGCCCCAACTTCTAGGATTAT